ATGTTACGGGGTCGTGGGCAGAGGCGAAGCGAGCTGGAGGGTGCCGCCACGCCGTGTCGAAACGTGCAGTCGAGACTCCAGATTGGGTTGCTTTTGGGAAGGTTGAGCTGATGGTCGTTGAAGGACGTGCGCAAAGTGGCACCGGCTACTTGAATGTGTACGTGAAGCACTTGGGGCGAGCAGGGTTTGCAGTCGGGGGTTTGCTGGGAGAGGACGACCACGCAGAGGCAGCGGTTCCTCCAGCGGGTTGTTTCCACCATGTGGCTCTTCTGGAAGCGAGCGGCAGGGGTCCTTCCGCGTCGTCGGTTGCCATGGCAGACTTCGCGTGATGCATGCCGCGGTTGCCGTCGCAGATTGAAGCAGATGCGTCGGGAATGGCATGGTCGATCCAATCCCATGATTCAGTGCGAAGGTGCGTGTCATATCGCCTCGTAGCCGGATACAGAAGGATATGATTTGCTGCGCTCCGCAGCCCCTCGCGAGGCTCGAGAAAATGGTCCCGGTTATGAGATCGGATACCTCCCGCAGTTACCGCCGCCCTTTAGGCTCTCGGATGGTAGCGGAGCGCTTCGGTGCTGCGCGATCCGCGGAATCACTGACAACGTCAGCCAGGGCTGGCGAGAACGAGGGCTTCGAGCTGGTCAGCATCAGCAGCGGCGGAGACAGAGACCACCAGTGCGACTGGAAGAGGATTGCGATCCAGCTGATCTCGCTCGGCAAGATCAGAGGATACTGGTCAGAGCTCGGCAGGTGGCTGTGTGCTATCAAGAAGCAGGGCCAGCTCGCGATCAAGGATATCCTGGATGGCAACGCCCGGGGAGGTCGTCAGAAGGCTCGAGGCGCTCGAGCAGGCGAACATAGTGCTGGTGCAGGAGGCTCGACGCCAGCGGGATCGAGCGGATCAACTTCAAGAGGCAGCCGCTCGCGCCGCCGATGGCGGCGCGGCGGCAGGAGCTGCGGCGGGAGTGGCTGCTGCAGCAAGAAAGGAGCTGGATACAACGCCATTCGACATGATGATTACGAAGAACCCCGACAGGTTTGACGGTAAGCAGGAGTCCTGGACAGACAGGTGTCTCTTGTTTCGCAGCTATGTGGCATCGCATGACGAGCGCGCCATCGAGCTGATGGACAGAAGTACGACCATGGACAAAGAAGTGGTCGTGGGCAGATCGGCCAATGACGAGAAGGCCGGAGATGAGAAGCGCTCGAGGATGGTGTTCCACTTGCTGACGGCGAGCATGACAATGAAGTCTCGCGGGTTCAAGCTGATCAAGAACACGAAGAGCTCCAGCGGTTTCGGGGCTTGGAGACAGCTCAACCAGTTGCTGAACGCGACGTTCAAGGCTGGAGTTGGACGCAGAGAAGGCATCGAGACATGGGGGCGCGAGGTCACCGAGTACGATGAGCAGGCCGAGGATATGCCGCCAGAGTCTATCCAAGCGAACGCGCTGGTCCAAGGGCAGGACGACGAAGTTCTGAAGTCGCACCTGACGTTGAACTCGAACAGGCTCATGATATATATATATAAGGACATCAGAATGGATACCATGGACTACATCGTGAATCATCGCGTTTGGCATCGAGACAACGATCAGGCGGCGCCGACGGACGCGGGCGCCGCTCGCAGCTGAAAGGCGGCAAAGACTCCAAAGGCAAGGGCAAGAGTGCCAAAGGCAAAGTCAAAGGCGACAAAGGCAAACCCACATGTCAAGGTAAAGACGACAAATGAAAGCCCAAGGCTGCGAATAACGACAAGTGGTGCGACTGGTGTAAGAGGGCAGGACGCGCGGCGGAGACGTGCAGGAGAAAGAGGTGCTCTGATCAGAGACAGGCGAGCCAGAACAGCAATGCCAGTGCAGTCGTTCCTCAGCGGCAACCAGCTCAACCTGGATACGCGACGTCCACCATCGGCCCGAATGACTCGGCATCACTCGCGATCACGATTCCCATTCGCATGTTGGCGCACCATCACCTGGACATGGCATGGAGGCTGGCGCTGTCAACAGTTGGCCCATCATCGGTGCTTCCAGGATCGGTGATGGCGCCGCAACAGGTGAGAGGCACGCCAACCACCATTCAAGAGGAGCGCGCGTACCCGTGGCCCGACACAGACGACGAGGGACCCATCCACGTGAGCATGCTGGCGGCCGCAGGTGCGAGCATCTTCGAAGATGGCGACGCGGGCTACCTGATGACCACTGGGGCGCGCGGGCGACTAGCAAATATTGAACCCAAAAATCCCCAGAGAGTCCCCAGGAACTCTCGGGAATCCACAGGGATTCTTCTGGAGTCTTCAGGGATTCTGCAAGACCCCCTACGGTTCCCCAGGAGTCCTGAGGAATCTTCAGGGAACCTTCAGGAGTCGTGAGGAGTCCTCCCGGATTCTTCAGGACTCCTGACGAGCTTGAAGGATTCCTCAGGACCCCGTAGAACTCTTCAGGAGTCCTGAGAAGTTCTCAGGGATTCGTCAGGGTCCTCACGGGTTCCTCAGGGATTCCACAGGAGTCCTGAGGCGTCCCCACGGTTTCCTCAGGATTCTGTAGGACACCCTCATTCTTCGGGAGTCCCAGGGATCCCGCACGGTTTTTTTTCACAAATCCGGATGAGTCTTCAGGGGTCCCTAACTATTCCCAGGGATTTTTGAGAATCCCTTCGGATTCCTGAGGATCCCTTCGGGATCCCTCACGATCCCCCAGGATCCCCAAAGGGTCTTGCTGCATCCTTCAGGGATTCCTCAGCGAGTCCTGGGGATCCGTACGGGTGCCCGAGGAGTCCCCAGGAGTCCTGAGGACTCCTCACTGATTCCGTAGGATTCTCCTGGAGAGTCCTTATGATGTTCCAGGGGATCCTCAGGATGCTGCTGGGGCGCCGCAGGGTTTCTGAGGACTCCTTGGGATCCCGCAGGAGGTTGCCCGAGGAGTTGTCAGGGTCCCCGATGTTTCCTCCGGATCCCCGCCGATCCTGCTGGATTCCTGAGATATTTTGCGCGGCTTCGCTGCGAGTTCTAACTGTCCCTCAGGATGCTTGATGATTCCTCATGGTCCCAAAACGTCTTAAAGAGAGTCCCAAGACGTCCCCAAGAGAGCCCCAAGATGGCCCCAAGAGTTCCCGAAGAGGCTCCCAAGGGAGCGCCAAGACGGCCGAAGGTTTCCAATACACCCCAAGACGGCCCGAAAGGACCCCCAACTGGCCCAAGAGGGCCCAAGGACCTTCCAAAAGGGCCCACATGGACCCTGATGGGGGCCAAACACATTGATTTCCATGAGGTGTTTGGATGCTTTTGGGGTTCTCGCCTTTCGGGCTTCCGACGGCTCAGGACGGCGCAAAGGGGCTCTCAAGATCGTTTCAAGGAGGCCCCAGAGGTCCCCAAGAGGGCACCAAGGCGCCCCAAGAGGCGCCCGGGATGGCCCCAATCTTTCAAAAGCTACGACTTTTTGCCATTCTGGGTCCTCTTGCGGGGCCTCTCGGAACCCAGTTCTTGGGAGCCTCTTGGGCTCTCTCGAGGGCATCATGGACAGTGTTGGTGCCCTCGGGGATCGTCTCTAGGCGCTCTTGGACATTTCGTGGGCTTTACTCAGGCCAGAGTGCCAGCATAGAACACCTCAGAATTCAAAGGGGAACCCCCCAAAGACCCTGGGACGGCCCTGAACTTGGGGAGTTGGACCCTTTTCATGAACCTAGTATCCTGGCTGCAGCAGCGCAGCTGTGGCCTTTGAGCAATTCTACTTCGGCCCCCAAGAGGTTCCCAGAGGCCCCGAGGGACCTCCAAGAGGCCCCTGAGAGGTGCCCAGAGGCCCCCAGCAGCACCCGAAGAGAGCACAACTGGCATCCAAGAGGGTCCAAGATGACCCACGACGGCCCAAAAGGCCCAGGGCAGCCCAAAAGGCCCCCCAGAGGGTCCACAAGGCTTCGAAGAGAGTCCCAATGAGGGCCACAGGACACCCCCAAGTCAGCCAGGGAGGGTCCCAAGATGGCCCCCAGCCCGTTCCAAGATGACGGGAAGCGCCCCTGGCGTGGACCGTTGGTTCAGGAGTACATTTGTCGGGAAGCGCCTCTGACGTGGTCCGAGGACGCGCCGCTGTCGTCGATATTTCCCTTCTCCTTCTACAGTCGGGGCCCTGAAGAAGGAACCCTTTTGGTTGGGGAGGGGCTCCGCGTTCCTTAACTGTTTCACAGCGTGCCTCCGGTTTTCCTTATGTTTTCGATAGGAAATCGAAGTTTAATTTCTGGAAAAAAGGGCCTCGTTCCTTATTTAGGGTTCCTTAGGTCAACGCCCCGACTGTACGTCGCATGTTTGCACCTTCGAGCCTCCAAACGGCCCCAGGGCCCTCGAAGGCCCCCGATGGGGACTCCCAACGCGCTCCAACAGGCCCCCAAGTGGCTCCCACGAGCCGCCCAGAGAAGCCCCCCAGAGTACCCGGAGAGGCCTGGGGATTTCCCAAGCGGGCCCCAAGACGGCCCAAGACAGCCTTAGATGGCGGCAAGTTGGCCTAGAGCCCCCCATAGACCTTCCTAGAGAGCCCAAGAAGACCCACGTAGCCACTGAGAGGACCCCGACAGGCCCCATCAGCCCCCCAGGATGCACCAAGATAGCCCCAGACGGCCTCATCAGCCCAGAGGGTAACCTCCTCCTCCTCCTCCTCCTCCTCCTCCTCATCCTTCTCCTTCTCCTTCTCGTCCTCCTCCTCCTCCTCCTCCCCCCCCTTCTGATGCGCCTTCGTCCTCGTTGTCGTCGTCGTCGTCGTCGTCGTCGTCGTCGTCGTCGTCGTCGTCGTCGTCGTCTTCCTCCTCCTCCTCCTCCTCCTCTTCCTGCTCCTCCTCCTCTCCTCCTCCTCCTCCTCCTCCTCCCCCTCCTCCTCTTGCGCCCTCGTCCTCCTCGTCCCCCTCGTCGACGTCGTCGTCGTCTTCCTCCTCCTCCTCCTCCTCGTCCTCCTCCTCTTCGTCCTCCTCCGACCGCCGGGGCCCGCGCGGCGCGCACGCGCAGCCGCCGCCCGGGGCAGGCCCAGCTTGGGCGGCTCGCGAGCAGGCCAAGCTGGCCCTGGAGGCGGAGAGGGCGAGACTCGATCCTCCTTCATCCTCTATCCTCCAATCTCCATCCTCCATCTTCCATCCTTCATCCTTTCCCTCCTCCTCCTCGTCCTCCTCCTCCGCCTCCTCTTCTCCTCCTCCTCCTCCTCTCCTCCTCCTCCTCCCTCCTCCTCCTCCTCCTCCCTCCTCGTCCTCCTCCGCCTCCTCCTCTCTTCCTCCTCCTCTCTCCTCTCCTCCCTCCTCCCCTCTCTCCCCTCCTCCTCCTCCCCCTCCTCCTCCTTGCCCTCGTCGTCGTCCTCGTCCCCGTCTCTCCTTCCTCATTCGTTTTCCTCCTCCCCCTTCTCCTCCTCCTCCTCCTCCTCTTCCTCCTCCTCCTCCTCTTCCTCTTCCCTCTCCTCCTCCTCCTCCTCCACTTCCTGATACCCCTCCAGCCGTTTTGGCTCAAGCCATTTTGGCTCGAACCCCACTTGGACCCCACTCGGGGTCCACAGGGGGTGCGAGCCCCGTTTCCACTCTGGCTCGATGGCGCCGCCCCTCGCGCGTGGTTCTCCCTCGGGTCGCGCGACGGGGCGGGGGGGGATAGGGCATGCCGTCAGCGGTGGCGCGCGGGGAAAAATCCGTCGGTTCGACGGTGCCTTCGGCCGCCTCACTCCCTCGCCTCCATGGGCCCCGCCGGGCGTGCTCGCGCGGCGAGTGCACGGGCGCCGTCGCCGCCCGTGGGCGAAGGCGTCGCAGCCTCGGCGGGGTGCGTGTCGCGCGGCGTGGTGGCAGCACGGAGCCGAAAGCGAAGCCGGAGCAGACTGTGAAGGCCGACGGCACTGCGGCGGTGCGGAGCATGCGGAGACACGGGCGACATGGGCGACGTGGGCGATTTGGGCGATGCGAGCGACATGAGCGACATGGGCGCCATGTCGCGCAGAAGGCACTTTGGAAGTGCCTTCGGGGCGGCGCAGGGGCAGCAAAAAATGTAGGTGTTTGCGTGCCAGGGCATTTTCTTTTGCAGAGTCGGGCGCCCTGGCGCGGACGGCCGAACAACCCCTGCAGCGGGACACCCTGGCCACGCGTGTCGCCGCCGCAAAAACTTCCCGTTCAAGGCCGAAGGCCACCAGCAGGACCCGAGCATCGTGGAGTGCCTCAGCTTCCTTGCTCAAGCAGTGGCGAAGCGTCCTGGCTCGCCTACAGCCCCACCAGGCAATGTTCTCAGAACCTCGTGTGATGTCCACGAAGTGTTCGCAGAACATTCCTGGCGGAGTCTGTCTTGTGTGATCACATCGGGCTTATGTCATACGAACCTTGTGTTTGTGCTTGGAGCGTTTGTGGGTTCCAAGAACATTTCGTGGTAGGACCATAGGAATGCCCGGACGGCTGGTCGCTGCTCAACTTACGGGACTCGGTCGATGTGGATTGCCTCAGCACCAAAACGCGAGCGCTTCCACGTGACGGGCCCTGGGGGACGCTCGCCCGAGGCCGTTTCGGCACCCTTTCGACACTCCTGCGGGTGCTCGACGTTGCTTTTGGGATGTGGTCCTCAAGTGCGATGGGAGCAACACAACCTTACGGGACTCGGTCACTGTGGGCACTGCTCACCACCCACCAAACCACCCCAACCCAACCCGAAGGCTTCAATTTGCACTCCATTTCCAGTGTGGGGGGGGGGGGGGCGGGGAACATCGAGAAAGCACATCTGGAACCCGTACCCCCCCCCAACCCGAAATTCGGGTCTTCGGGTTGGGTCGGGGTGGTCTGGTAGGTCGTCAACTGCCGTGGTGGTCGCGGGATCGGGCTGCTGGGGGGCTCAAGGCGTCGACGGCGAGGGCGCAGCGCCCGAGGAAGGCCAAGCTCCTGGGGCCGCCGCCCGCAGAGCGGGGAGGGGGGGACGACGAGGGCGACCGAGGACGCGGCGTCCGAGGACACGGCGCAGCCTCCTCCTCCTCCTCCTCCTCCTCCTCCTCCTCCTCCCCCTCCTCCTCCTCCTCCTCGTCCTCCTCCTCTCCCTCCTCCTCCTCCTCCTCCTCCTTTTCCTTCTCCTTCCTCCTCCTCCTCCTCCTCCCCTCCTCCTCCTCCTCCGCCTCCTCCCCCTCCTTTTCCTCCTCCTCCTCCGCCTCCTCCTTCTCCTTCTCCTCCTCCTCCTCCTCCTCCTCCTCCTCCTCCTCCTCCTCCTCAAGACACTCCATAGTCGTGGATCGTACTGGCGCCCTGGCGGAGCACGCGTACCAGGTCGTCCGGGGGTCTCAGCCTAAGGTGCTCACCTTGTCCAGTTGTCTTGTTTGCAAGGGTCCGGGTAAGTTGGGCCTTCAGCACGTGCAGCGATCTCCTTGCGCTCATATCATCATGTTCTTGCTTGTTCTCTTGCTTGCCTTGTCCATTGACTGTTATGCTGCTGCGCTTGCCGTTGTGTGGAATTCGCTTATGCACTCCATTCGTGGCAACATCGGATTGCGCGAGCTTCTGATCAGCAAGGGTGTGCCTGAGGCCAAGGCCCAAGATCGCGCTGATGAAACGAAGCGCGTGTGTGGCCAGAGCCCTGTCGACAAGGCCCTGTCTGCTGCCGATCCCTGGGCCTCCTTGCTTTCTCTTGCCAAAACCAAGCAGCACCGTCTTGTTTTGGCCGGGGAGCTGAAGGAGCGCCAGCAGATTCGCCGCCGGTTGGCCAAGAAGTCTCCGGCTCCTGCTGCTGCTGCTGCTGCCGCTGCTGCCCGTCCTCCCGCAGGGGGCAGCCGTCTTTACCCTGATGCGACGATCGATAATAGCACAGTTGAGCTCGTTGATTCAGGATGCAATGCGCCCACCATCACCGAAATGGCCGTGCGCGTCACGGGTGTCTACTTAGGCACGCGTGTTGAGCTGGCCCGGTGGCGTGGTCAGTGTCGCTCGAGCGGAGGGCTGTCCCCCGACCCTCTTGGATTTCTTGTCCTGGGCGAGCTCGAGGGTGGCACTACATGGCATGTGTTGCTTCGCACGACTGGCACTCAGGATGTGTTTCGGGCGCGGGCGTCTTTGTTTCAGCTTGGCGCGTAGCCTGTCGTAGCCAAGGACGTTGACGTCGATAGGATTGCCATGCCTGCGCATAGTTATGTTGTGTTGCAAGTCGTGTATGATCGAGCGTATATGTCTCATGAGCAGTGGCAGAATGCTTCTTCGCGCCCCAATGCGTTCTTGTTCCAGAACTGTACTCCTTCGGCCACCGTCCGGGATCATGTCCTGGATGTATGGCGCCTGCCTTCGGGGAGTGATGCTGCGCAGCGGGCCGGCACGGTCATCAAGCTCCGGGTGCGGGCTCGGCCCGGGGATGCCGACGCGATTGCTGACTCCAGTGGCAAGGGCGGTATCTTCATTCAGAAATTCACCCCGCCTAACGAGATGCCTACCCATCGAGTTGCGTGGCTCCCCACGGGAGGTCCCGAGTCTGATGGCCCTGAGAGGCTGCGAGGCGCCGTGACCCACTCGGACCTCAAAGGGTATAAGGGTGTCGCCCGGTCAGAGCGTGGCCTCGGCTATCGCCTCCTTCTTGCGGACTTTGAAGCGGCGTACAATGCCCTCCATCCGGATGCTCATGCCACGGCTGACATCCTCTTCGTCGGTCGGTCGTCGTGGGTGGTAGAAGGTTTAAGCCCTGATTGCAGCCGCTTGCAGCTCCAGGATGCTGCCAAGAAATGGTCAGACCAGGCTGCCAATCGGGAGGGCTGGCAGATCAAAGTTGGCTTTCCCCCGCAAGGCGCGTGGCTGCGCGGGGGGGCGCGGTGTTTCAAGGTGGATGCCCTGAACCCCCCACCAGGTTGGCAAGAGGGTTCTTCTTTTGTGTTGATGCCACTCCAGGGGGTGGGTGCTACCGTTAGGAAGTTCTCGGGCAAAGATAAGAAGGGCAACCACGTCGGTGTTGCCCGTCCCACCGTGCCTGTTGCCGAACGTGTTTTCCAGGATCCCTGGGCGGGTGGCGCCGACCCCTGGTCCCAGGCGGCCCCCCGCGGCGTTGGCCAGCAGGCTCCTCATGCTGCGCCCGGCGCACAGGGTCCCGTCGAGACGGAACTGACGGCTGTCAGGACCCAGATGGCTGACCTCCAAAAGCAGCTCACTCAGCAGCATCAGGAGGTTGGCACTCGTCTCGATGCCCAGGACCAGCGCCTGACGGCCCAGGACAAGAACATATCAGACCACCAGACCTCACTCGACGAGCGTTTGGGTAAGTTTGAGACGACGTTCATGGCAACTTTGAAGAGCAATTTCGAAGAATTGCGAGCGTCTTTCTGGGGGGTTGCCCCTGCTGTTGCCCCTTCTGCTGCTACTGCTGCTGCTGGTGCGGCTCCCGCGTCCCTGACCCCCCGGGGTGATGGTCGTGATGGTCGTCGGGACGCCCCCCGGGAGCGGACCCCTCGGCGCGAGCAGCAACCCAGGGACGACCATTGACAAATCAGCGGGGGCAGGTCCCTTCTCGACTTGTGCCCCGCTCACGGAAGGGGGCGTGGCCTGTCCGTCCCCTCTCATGTTGTTGGCCGCCTTTCGGGGCCACATTTCGTGACATCCATGATGTCTCATCTCCCACATCCTTGCATCGTTGACCCATGCATTGGTTGCAGTTTTGGACCTCTCTTGCATCAGGAACGGCTGGAGCTGTCCGCCTTGTCTGTTGCTTTGTCGTCGCAACCACTTGTTGTTCCCGTGGGCCTGGCCCGCCGCTCCCAGGGGCAGGATCTGTCCGCCACAAATGTTGATCCTCATCGTATCGTTGCTTGCCTGCTTGCTTGCACTTGTAGAACCAAGGGTGCCGCCACACAGTCGGAAAGCTGGTTAACACAATTTGTCCATGGAGGGGGGCAGGATCTGTCCGCCCCATTCCCTGGCCACTGTGTTCGTATTGCTCTTATCATTGTGTGCACTTTCATGTTGCTCGTTTGCCGAGTTCCACACAGCGGTAGCGCAGACACACGCCATGGCTGCATTTTTGGACCGACTTCGCATCAGGAGCGGCTGGAGCTGTCCGCCCTGCCTGGTGCCGCGTCGTTGCAGCCCTTGGACTGTCATCGTGCCCTCGGAGGTGCGCTGCCGCAACGCACTATTCTTTTTTCGCGAACGCCCAGGGTGGCACAATTTATCGCTTCCTGCCTTGTTCGCCCCCGCCGTGCCTCCGGCCTGACCCGGAACCTGCATGGCCTCAGGGGTGTCATTTGTCGCTTGTGCCTTCTCAGTTTTGCTTTTTCGGGCCCCTCCTGGTCTGCAAGTTGTCACGCCTTGCACGGCAATCCTGGCCCCGATGCCGCCGACGTGCCTTCCCACGGTGATGTCTTCAAAGTCGCCGTCATCAATCCCGGCGGTTTGGACTCCGCGAATGGCGAGTCCATGGTGGCTGAGTGCGGAGCCCAGCTCTATTGCGTCAGCGAGGTCAACTTTGAGTCGCCTGCTGTGGCCAGCCGGTGCGCGTGGATGTCACGCACTGGCGGAAGCGCCATTTTCGCCCATCCTGGTGCTCAGCGTGTCTGGGGCAATACTGGCCGGCGTGTGGCCCTCTCCCTTGCCGGCCTCCTTGCCCCCAAACAAAACCCCGATGTCAGCGGTCACTCCGGATTATCCTCCGGGCGTGAGCGTCAGCGGTCGGGTTGCTTCAGGTGTCATTCGTGTGTCTCCTTCTGCCACCGCCTTTGTGCAGACGGTCTATGGTGATGTTGATTCGAAGGAGAAAATCGAAGTTCTCCTCAGCGCGGCGTTCGAGGCTGCCGAGGTGTACGGCGGACTTGCACTTATCGGAGGCGACTTCAATGTTCTGCCTGACGGGAGCTTCGCCCTTGCTCGTGCGAGGCTGCGGGGGTGGGTGGATGTGGCCAGCGCCATTGCGACTCGTAATGGCACGGAACCTGTGGCCACCCACGTCCAGACTGGCAGCAACCCCCGTCGCATTGATCAACTTTGGGTTAGCCCCGTTGCTGCCCGCGCTTTGCTTAATGTTACGGTTCTTGAATGGACTGGACACAAGCCAGGTGTTGCATCTTTTGCTTGGGATCGCCCGACCCCCCATTTGACTAAATGGCGTGTGCCGCATGCCCTCCCTGTGCCTGTGGATCCTGTCGCCGTTTCTACGATCCGTGCGCGTGCGTGCCCTGACCCGCACTTGTCTGACGAAGTCTGCACTGTTGCTGACGTTACCGTTGACGCCGGTTTCCAGGCTTGGAGTGTGGCTGCTGAGACGTTCCTCATTGATTCTCTCCGGGCGGAGGGCGGCGATGATCGAGACGGCATTGTCTCTCGCCATCGCGGTCGCGGTCGTGGTGGCAAACGTGTCAAGGTGCGTCAGTGTGAGCAGCGAGCCCGCCCAGGCCGCGATAATTTTGCAAGCGATTCGCCTAACACGGTGCAGGCTCGTTTGATGATCAAGCAGCTCCGTCGTTTGTCCTCTGCCCTTGATCTTGCCCGGCGCATGGCCCCAGGCGGCAGTGGCTCTCGTCTGCCGGATTTTGGGCGCCAGGAGCTCTGGAGCTCCATTCGTGCCGGCCACGGGTTCGGTCTCCCTTTTCATGCTTGGTGGGATCACCGCCTGCTGGCTTGCCCGCGTGCTCGGGCTGCCAGCGCACGCAGTGGCTACCCCGCTCTTCCTCTCTTCTTCCCTGCTGGTGAATCCGCAGTGCGCTTCATTGAAGATGTCACTACGATTGTGCAGGCGCACGCCAATTCCACCTGGCAGCACGCGAAGAATGAACGTCGTCGGCAATACCGCGATACCCTGGCGGAGGACGCGTCCGACTCCGGCCGGCTGTGCTGGAAGGCCACACGGCCTCCTACCAGCGCAATGGGCTCCATGTTGCAGGCTGCTGATGGGGCGTGGCTCACTGAACCGCACCAGATCGACTGCGAGATTTGGTCTCAATGGCACCCCATCCACGGACGCCACTCTGGCGGGGAGGATTGGAGCCACGCTCGCGCCTTCATTGATGCCAACATCCAGCGGCATGAAGGCCTTGATCTTGCTCTCTCGGTTGCTGAGCTCCGTGGAGCTTGCAAGCGCATGGCTGCCCGCACCTCTGTCTATGCTTGTGGTTGGCGCCCCCGGGAGCTTGCTGTTTTGCCTGATGCCTTCCTGCAGGCGTTGATCGATTTGTTCGCCATGTTCATGCAAAAACGCCAGTGGCCGAGATTGTTGCTTTTCTGTTGCATCTCTCTCATCCCCAAGCATGAGCAGGCGACCACTGCGGCAGACCTGCGTCCCATTGCCGTCTTCAGTGTCGTCTACAGAGCTTGGTCGAGCGCCATTGCCCGCAAGTTGCTTATGTGGTCCCGCGCACGATTCTTACCCCCAGGCATCAAAGGCGGTGTCCCTGGGCAGGAACCGGCGGACTGCTTTCTTGAAGTGGTTTTCGAGCTCGAGTCTGCCTCGGTTGACGGGGTCGCCCTGGCGGGGGGCACCGCTGATGTGACCAATTTTTTTGACAGGATTCCCCGTGCCTTGGTGAGTTACCTGTGCATTAAGCTTGGCGTGCCCGTTGATTTCGTTCAGGCGTGGATGGACCATCTCTGTTCTACAGTCCGTTTCTTTCGCGTGTGTGGCGGCATCGGAGTCGGCAGGCGCACCACCACTGGTTTCCCCCAAGGCGACGCCCTGTCGGTCATCGCCTCCATTTTGGTGACATACGTCTTCCATGTCATGGCACAGGTGGAGGGCGTGAGCGCCTCGTTGATGATTTGGGCTGACAACTTCCAGTGGCTCAGCCGCACTGCTTCGCAAGTCCCCGTGGCTTTCTCCTGCCTTGAGCGGTTCTGCCGCCAATGGGACATGCAGCTCAAACCCAGTGCCTGTTGGACCTGGTCCTCTGGCCCCGGAGCTGCTGGCAGGACTGCGAAGACGGAGGCAAGGTACACGGCCGCTGATGGCACCATGGTCCCTCACAGGGGTCACGCGCGTGAGCTCGGTGCTCACCTGAATTATGGCCATGCCCGTGCGGCTCCGACCATGGTTGAGCGTGCTCGCAAGGCCCAAGACTTTCTGCATCGTCTTGGGGTTGCTTCTATTCCGCGTGCCAAGAACATTGCCTTTGGTGGCCCCTGGAGCCTTGCAGCCTGCTGTTTGGGGTGCCGAGGCGTCCCGCGTCTCTAAGCATACTACCGTGTACACTCTCACGTTATGCGTGTCTGCTGTGCTGAAGCCCCGCAAGGGTAAGACGACGAAACGCAATCCTGACTTAACCTGCTTGTTTGGGGGTGGCGTTAAGAGCTTTACCAAGACTTCGATTTTTGGTATCTGCTGTGCCGCCGGACGCTTGGCTTGCGGAGCTTTCTCTCCCGGTCCGGTCAAGGTGCGGCCGACAGGGCCGCAAGGATCCTGACTGCACGCGCTGCTGCCCAAGTGCTTCCCGACGCCCTCCCGATCCAGCTCCTCCTGGAAACTTGGTCGGACGCAGGCTGGACTCTGGGGGGGGGATGGCGCCCGGCGGACCCCTCTGGCCGGGCGCGCGGTCATCTGCTGACCTGCTGCCGCCAGGAGGTCGAGTGCCTCATCGCCGAGGCCGCTGCAGACTACGCATCCCTCCGCGCCGCTGCTGCTCGCCCAGAGCTGGCAGCTTTGGGGCGCATTGACGTGGCCACCACGTTGGACTACAGCCGCGACCTTGGGGACCTGGCTGCTGGCACTCTCTTCGCGTGCCTCACTGGGCTTGTCTACACCCAGAAGGATTTCGCGAAGATCGCCGGGGACGAGGTCGATGCTATCCGCCCTTGTGGTGCCGAGTTCGAGAAACTCTCTCACAGGTATCGCCGCTGCTTCATGCACAACGCGGAGCGGGGGGCCATCCCGGAGATCGCTGACCCCGCGCAGGTGGACGATGCCCTCGCCACGTTCGGCATTGTGCAGACTACGGATGCTGAGCGCGATTTTTGGGCGCACTTGGAGAGCTGCGTCCCCACGGCTCCGCCGGATTGGCTTACTTTGCGTGTTTTCGTGGACGATGACGGTCTCATGAATTTCTTCAGCGACGGCTCCGCCGACCCTGCCGATGATGCCCGGTGGCGCGTTGCAGGCGGCGGAGTGGTCTTTCGTGCGTACATGGCTGACGGGGCGCTCCAGTGGCACCGTTGGTGCTCTCCTCTCCCGGGCCTTGTTCAAACGATCACTCGTGCTGAACTGTGCTCCCCTGGGCATGCTGGCGACCACCGTGAACCACGACTTCCGGGTCTGGACCGACAACAAGTCTGTGGTGGACGAGGCCCAGGCCTGTGTCGCCACGGCTGGCCGCGGCTTGCCCGGTTGCTACGCTGCCCGGCCGAACGGCGACTTCCGGCAGCTGTTTGACGACGCCCTCCGCGCCCGCCCCGGCAGGCGCGTGGTGGTGACGAAGGTCAAGGCCCACACAGAGTTCACTGATGCCCGCACGGTGATGGACGCTTATCTCTGGGATGGGAATGACAGGGCCGACGCTGCTGCCAAGCGGGGCCGGTCCGCGCACGACTACGCTGGCTTCTGGTGTGGTTTTCCGGTTTTGCCTTTTCTGCGGCCCTGCTTTCTTCGTCTTCCTCCCTTCTCCTCTTCTTGCCGGTTTACTTCTGGGATGTTGCCCGATATTGAGCCACTGGTCAGTCTCAGCCGAGCATCGCCGCGGAGTGCATGTGTTACTCGAGTGATGCTGTGGTCCCCCATGTCCGATTCGTCCCCTCTGCTGTCCTCCTTCTTGCCCCCTAATATGCGCTGGATAGACAGATGGCACGCTGGCGCCATACTATGGCCATGCCTGCGCCATATTCTTGACGCTTCGCGCATCCCCACCAGCCCGTCCAGCAAGGATGCCCAGACGAGTTGCCCTGATCAGGGAAGCGGGGGGAGGGGGCAGACAGAAAAACAAAAAGGCTCGGGAAGCCTTCATACCCCAACGGGGGGAAGATGGAGGATGAACCGGAGGAAATGGGGGAGGACACGGAGGTGGGGGATGGGGGGGGAGGAGAAAGGAGGAACGGGCAGGACGGAGAAGAGATAAGAAGAGGCGGATAAGGACGAGGAGGGCGAGCAGAAGGGCGAGAGTCCGTCTGGATGCTCCCACGGAGTCTCTTCTTGAGATGTCTTTCGGGAGCTTCTCGGAGCCCTTTTGGAGCGTCTTGGGGGCCTCTGGGCTGTCACTAGGACCTCTGCGAGCGTCTTCGGAGCCTCGGGGGAGCCTCTGGGGCTTCTGAGGGGCCGCTCGGGAGCCTCGAGGGGGCTTCCTGGGGGTCTCTTGAGGCCCTGTCGGGGCACTCTCGGGAGCCATGGGGGCCCTCTGGGAGGCTCCGGAGGGGGGTGGGTGGGGTAGAGGAGGGGGGTGGGCGGGGGGGGGTCGAGGGGGTGCGGACGGGGAGGGTGGAGGGACGCGGAGGGGGGGTGGGCGGAGGTGTGGGCGGGCCATGCTATTGCCATACAGCTGCCATGCCGTTGCCATGCTGCTGCCATGCTGTTGCCATGCCGTTGCCTGGCGCATGCCATGCCGTTGCCGTGCCGTGGCCGGGCCGTTGCCTTGCTGTTGCCATGCTGTTGCCATGCGCTTGCCGTGCCGTTGCCATGCCGTGGCCGTGCTGTTGCCATGCTGTTGCCATGCGCTTGCCATGCCGTTGCCATGCCGTGGCCGTGCTGTTGCCATGCTGAAGCCATGCTGTTGCCAGGTTGTTGCCATGCGCTTGCCACGCCGTTGCCATGCCGTTGCCACGCAGTTGCCATGCCGTTGCCATGCTGTTACCATGCTGTTGCCATGGGGCTGCCACGCAGATGGCCATGCGACTGCCACGCAGATGGCACGCAGTTGCCATGCCATGGCGGAGGCGTTGCCATGCAGTTGCCGTGCGCGTGCCATGCGCGTGCCATGCCGTGGCCGCGCTGTTGCCATGCCGTTGCCATGCTGTCGCCATGCCGTTGCCATGCCGTTGCCATGCGCTTGCCATGCCGTTGCCATGCCGTGGCCGCGCCGTTGCCACGCTGTTGCCATGCTGTTGCCATGCTGTTGCCAGGTTGTTGCCATGCGCTTGCCACGCCGTTGCCATGCTGTTGCCACGCAGTTGCCATGCCGTTGCCATGCTGTTGCCATGCCGTTGCCATGCGGTTGCCATGCCGTTGCCATGCCGTTGCCATGCGCTTGCCATGCCGTTGCCATGCCGTGGCCGCGCTGTTGCCATGCTGTTGCCATGCCGTTGCCATGTTGTTGCCATGCCGTTGCCATGCCGTGGCCGCGCTGTTGCCATGCCGTTGCCATGCCGTGGCCGTGCGGTTGCCATGCCGTTGCCATGCCGTTGCCATGCTGTTGCCATGCCGTTGCCATGCCGTTGCCATGCGCTTGCCATGCCGTTGCCATGCCGTGGCCGCGCTGTTGCCATGCTGTCGCAATGCCGTTGCCATGCTGTCGCCATGCCGTTGCCATGCCGTTGCCATGCGCTTGCCATGCCGTTGCCATGCCGTGGCCGTGCTGTTGCCATGCTGTTGGCATGCCGTCGCCATGCTGTTGCCATGCCGTTGCCATGCCGTTGCCATGCGCTTGCCATGCCATTGCCATGCCGTGGCCATGCTGTTGCCATGCTGTTGTCATGCCGTTGCCACGCTGTTGCCATGCCGTTGCCATGCGCTTGCCATGCCGTTGCCATGCCGTGGCCGTGCTGTTACCATGCCGCTGCCATGCCGTTGCCATGCTGTTGCCATGCCGTTGCCATGCCGTTGCCATGCCGTTGCCATGCCGTGGCCATGCCGTGGCCGCGCTGTTGCCATGCTGTTGCCATGCCGTTGCCATGCTGTTGCCATGCCGTTGCCATGCCGTTGCCATGCGCTTGCCATGCCGTTGCCATGCCGTGGCCGCGCTGTTGCCATGCTGTTGCCATGTCGTTACCATGCCGCTGCCATGCTGTTGCCATGCCGTTGCCATGCCGTTGCATGCCGTGGCCGCGCTGTTGCCATGCTGTTGCCATGCCGTTGCCACGCTGTTGCCATGCCGTTGCCACGCCGTTGCCATGCGCTTGCCATGCCGTTGCCATGTCGTGGCCGTGCTGTTGCCATGCTGTTGCCATGCCGTTGCCATGCTGTTGCCATGCCGTTGCCATGCGCTTGCCATGCCGTGGCCGTGCTGTTGCAATGGCGTTGCCACGCTGTTGCCATGCCGTTGCCATGCCGTTGCCATGCGCTTGCCATGCCGTTGCCATGCCGTGGCCGTGCTGTTGCCATGCTGTTGCCATGCCGTTGCCATGCTGTTGCCATGCCGTTGCCACGCCGTTGCCATGCGCTTGCCGTGCCGTTGCCATGCCGTGGCCGCGCTGTTGCCATGCTGTTGCCATGCCGTTGCCATGCTGTTGCCATGCCGTGGCCGTGCCGTTGCCATGCGCTTGCCATGCCGTTGCCATGCCGTGGCCGCGCTGTTGCCATGCTGTTGCAATGCCGTTGCCATGCTGTTGCCATGCCGTGGCCACGCCGTTGCCATGCGCTGGCCATGCCGTCGCCATGCCGTGGCCGTGCTGTTGCCATGCTGTTGCCATGCCGTTGCCATGCTGTTGCCATGCCGTTGTCATGCCGTTGCCATGCGCTTGCCATGCCGTTGCCATGCCATGGCCGTGCCTTTGCCATGCTGCTGCCATGCCGTTGCCATGCTGCTGCCATGCCGTTGCCTTGTCGTTGCCATGCGCTTGCCGTGCCGTTGCCATGCCGTGGCCGGGCTGTTGCCATGCTGTTGCCATGCCGTTGCCATGCCGTTGCCATGCCGTTGCCATGCCGTTGCCATGCCGTTGTTGCCATGCCGTGGCCGCGCTGTTGCCATGCTGTTGCCATGCCGTTGCCATGCTGTTGCCATGCCGCTGCCATGCTGTTGCCATGCGCTTGCCATGCCGTTGCCTTGCCGTGGCCGTGCTGTTGCCACGCTGTTGCCATGCCGTTGCCATGCTGTTGCCATGCCGTTGCCATGCCGTTGCCATGCGCTTGCCATGCCGTTGCCATGCCGTGGCCATGCTGTGGCCTTGCTGTTGCCATGCCGTTGCCATGCTGCTGCCATGCCGTTGCCATGCCGTTGCCATGCGCTTGCCATGCGGTTGCCATGCCGTGGCCGCGCTGTTGCCATGATGTTGCCATGCCGTTGCCATGCCGTCGCCATGCCATCGCCGATCCATCGCGGTGCCAATGCGGGACGACTTGCTGGACGATCCCCGGGGCGATTTGGGCAGGTCCACGCGGGAAGGCGTTGACTTGCGCAAGTCAGGGGGGTATTTTTCAGGAAATTCTTGAAAAATTACCCCCCTGACTCGCGCAAGTCAGGGGGGTATTTTTTTTGGAAATTCCTGAGAAATTACCCCCCTGACTTGCGCGAGTCAGGGGGGTAATTTTTCAGGAATTTCCTGAAAAATTACCCCCCTGACTTGCGCAAGTCGGCGCCTCTGCGTCGCCATGCTGCGGCCATGCCGACGCCATGCTCCTGCCACGCTGCTGCCGTGCTATGGCCAGCCGTCGCCGCTGCGTTGGCGCGCGATTGCCGCGCAGTTGCCACGCTAGCGTCGCGTGAGAGCCGCGCTGTTGCCATGCTTTTGCCGAGCTGTTGCCGCGGGCTGCCACGCTATTGCCATGCGATTGCCACGCAGCTGCCATGCCATTGCCATGCGACTGCCACGCAGATGGCACGCAGTTGCCGTGCCGTTGCCATGCCGTGGCCGTGGTGTTGCCATGCTGTTGCCATGCTGTTGCCATGCGCGTGCCATGCCGTTGCCATGCTGTTGCCATGCCGTTGCCATGCCGTTGCCATGCGCTTGCCATGCCGTTGCCATGCCGTGGCCATGCGCTTGCCATGCCGTTGCCATGCCGTGGCCGTGCTGTTGCCATGCTGTTGCCGTGCTGTTGCCATGTGCTTGCCAGGCCGTTGCCATGCCGAGGCCGTTATGTTGCCATGCCGCAGCCATGCCGTTGCCATGCCGTTGCCATGCGCTCGCCATGCCGTTGCCATGCAGTTGCCATGCGTTTGCCATGCCTTTGCCATGCTGTTGCAGTGCTGTTGCCATGCCGTTGCCATGCCGTGGGCGCGCAGTTGCCATGCCATTGCCATGCAGTTGCCATGCGCTTGCCATGCCGTTGCCATGCGCTTGCCATGCCGTTGCCATGCCGTGGCCGCGCTGCTGCCATGCCATTGCCATGCTGTTGCCATGCCGTTGCCATGCGCTTGCCATGCCGTTGCCATGCTGTTGCCATGCTGTTGCTACGCTGTTGCCATGCTGTTGCCATGATGTTGCCATGCCGTTGCCGTGTTGTTGCCATGCGCTTGCCACGCCGTTGCCATGCAGTTGCCACGTTATTGCCATGCCGTTGCCATGCTGTTGCCATGCTGTTGCCATGGGCTTGCCATGCCGTTGCCATGCCCTGGCCGTGCTGTTGCCATGCTGTCGCCATGCTGTTGCCATGCCGTTTGCCATGCCGTTGCCATGCTGTTGCCATGCTGTTGCCATGCGCGTGCCTTGCCGTCGTCATGCCGTTGCCATGCGCTCGCCATG